GATCATCAACATTGCGATGAATCTTAAGCTAAAAGTATCGTTTGGGTGGTTTAAGTAAAGAAATAAATCCAAATATAAAGTCGTCATTAATTACCAACCTCCTTGACAAAGTTTCCGATCACCTCATCTTCATTTTGTGAATGCAAAAGCTTGTATGCCACCGTTCTACCAAGTGACTTCACTTTGGCTTTGAAAACCGCTCCATATCCTCCACCACCGATGTATAGGGCGTCAATAAAGTCATCGAAAGAATAATACCGAATGCTTCCATCTTCGATATTTTTTCTTAACCATTCCCCATCGGACTGACTTGAGGTCATGTTTGTTGCTGATATTACAATGACTCGATACTATTCAAGATAGTAGTAGATACCCTAATTATACTGTATCACCTGATACAATGATTGATTGGAGAATCGGTTCATTTTAGCTGACACTTTGAGCCGTTAATATTAAATGTAAACCGAAAATGGATAAACCGAAGGCTAAATAAAAAACCGAAGGTAAGTTCTATATGAAATTTACCCCGACCCACTTCGGTTTAACGGGTTTCACTATATATAAGCAATAGCATATCGCAAACTGTCAATTATGTTTACCGTATTATTGCAATTGACCGCATTTTCGTTGGCAACGAAGGCAGATTTAATAGATTTGATTATCGTTATGGCTATTAGTACGTAATAAGAAGCTGGTCTTTCTAACTTATTTTCTTGCTATTGAATCTAGTACAGTACAGTTTTTGAAAGGTGTGAGAATTAAGGTACAACTTATTATTCCTTACTCGAATATAAACGACATATAGTCAAGTCGAATTGACAGACTGTTCGTTATTCTAAACAAACTGACAGTCTAATTCATTGATACACTGTGATCTCATGACGGAAACATAGTTTGCATGTCATATACTGTACATCCATATACAGTATATGCGATCTTGGTCTCTCTCGATAGTGAATCAAATTCAAGCATTCGGGGCGTTTACCCATGTGCGCAAATCAGAAATCGGACATATATTCTTTTGGTATCATGATTGCCATGGTGAATCACCTTTTAGAGACAGGCAATTTGATATAGACTTGGTGATATTGTGGGTGGACTGCGACCATCGATGCCTGATTCGGCGCCAGATGAATACAAGAAACTTGCTGAGCAGTATTACAGTATTATACTTGTTAGTTGATTCAGGGGTTCGGCGTGATACAATCATCCTTTCGGATAGCACTTGTTGTCAAATCAAATCAAAAACCTTCTACCGCAGTAAATCTTTAGTAACTCCAGAACTCCAAACAATCAGTCGATAGCGCTATATTATTGTGCCTAATAAATAAACCTCAGTCGATTGTGTGACGATCAAGATTCGTCAAGATGCATTGTTGCTTTTCGGATTTAAGTCTCGGGCTAAGGAGTTAAATGCCACAATAAAATTTATTAATGCGGTGGTAGGAAATTGATGCGGTTATACTATTAAGAGCAAACAAAAACTTTCGGGTTCAAGAAAATGACGTATATGGAAACATAATTATTGGACCGATCGCCAACCATATGATGGAGCTGGTTTTAATACACAAAAACGCATTTTTTCCAAAAGACTCGCAGAGTGAGGAGGCTTTCACTAAAAAAGTAGCACCTACACTTCCGTCATATGAACCAGAATCAATCAATTATTGATGATAGCTCAAAATTATTATCAATCCAGTATACTCTTACATTCCAATTAATTGTTTATCTACGTTTTACAATAATGTATGCAGTATTCAAATTGGGGTTTTGTGTCTTATGCACTTTGTGCGTGCGCTCTCACGCGTAATTTAACCGAGATAATATTCAGCTAAGTACGAGACAATATGTAAACAAATAGGTAACTGATATCCCAAAGTATAGAAGGAATTTAATATACTATGCACGAAGTATAATGCTTCATATAAGTGATACCCCAAAGTATAATTATTATAGAAATATATATTATAATGGGTAGCGCGGAAAAAGAGAATGGCAATATGTTAATTATGAACAAAATATACGCACGGAGTGCGCTTTGCGTAAATTATTATTATTTGGTTCTCCATATATTTTGAAAACATTACAACAAAAATTGAATTCAGTTTTAGGTTTATATGTATGGTCAAAAAAAAAAAGTCCGAATAGTAAATTTAATATTAAATAGCAAACTCGTCGTGCTTGAATAACGACAAAAATAGAATTTAATCGTCACTTGTTTTAACGCCCAATCGCGAGGCCCAGGCAAGTTCCCAGCTAAAAATCTACGACGCAAATACAAACTCGTCGTACTTGAATGTGGCTAAAAGTTTACCCAGGTCTTGAATGTGACCTTGACGACGACGCAAACACCTGAGAGAGTATAACCTAAAATTACGTGATTGAACGGATATACTAAACTAAGGGGTTTAATATTAATATACTAATACCGTAGATTGCGCTGACTAAAGTACCCTGGGTATTTTACTAGGGGGTACACCCATGATAATACATTGACAACCCCCCATAGCGTTTATGTAACACACCTATAATAAAAACTGTATAATACATAATGGATTCACGTGCTGTAACTCATTATTATTATGGTTCGCGCTAACAAACCTACGAGACTTCAGCAAGAGAAAAACTTGTTGTCATTTATTACTATTCTATCCGTGACACTGCGAGAAGGTTCGATATTGAACCAAAGCAAGTGAGAGAGTGAATAAACTCGTATGTGTTGTTCATATATCAATATCGTATGTTAATTAACACAGTAATAAATAATATTCTTATTTGCATCACGGGACAACATAATATCTGATTTGCATAATAATAATACCCGGGTCTTTTACAATTTCTCCGGCCTAAACTGCTGCAGGGTACTATACACAGGGGGGTACTTTAGTCAGCGCTCCCTATCATACATTGACATGCCTTCCAACTAACCATGTATATCAAAGATTGACATTGCAAATCACTCGTTAAAATAACTTCAATGATAAAAAATTCCCACATTAATACGATAATAATACTGTAATATGAAAACCAAAAATATATATACCCAATCAATACGTTTACGTCACACTTTTACTTCCAAATAATAACCCAAAACACGATATTAATATTGTATCATCGACTAGTAAAATATGGTTGACACACCCAAACCTTTACTGTATGATAACGTCATTAAACATACTTTCTACGTAAAACCCAAAAATATATCTCATGTAAAAAAAGCCATTAATTAATATAATAATATAATATTTGCATCGAGAATTATTATAAGGTGATGCAAAAAACAAATAATACTAACAAATCACTTTACAACTATATAAACACAATCCCAGCCACTCTCCACTTATATAAAACCAAGCTCCATGCCTAGTTATTACTTCCTCTACTTGCTTTTTTTCTTCCTCAGTTAGTTCTTTTTTATCTCCTATTTTATCCGGGTCTCACTACAAATTGAACATAAAATCACCCAATCTCTTTATATCCCTTCCATATCAACAACCTATAGTTAACAATGCTCATCCACTTTGACTCCACATATAAAAGAATTTAAGACTGAAACCGTTTTGCTTAAGCAAATGGCATGTTTCTCAATTTTGCAAACGAACCGATTCGCGTCCATCTATAAGTCTATGTCCCCAAGGAAAACTCAACCTGACATGTCACCAACACGTTCTCTCCCGACGACGTAGTAGAAATCGCCGGCGCAGTCACCGGCGTTCGTGAAAACGGAATATTTGTACGTATACAAATTCTATAACCAAAAAATATATGGCACTTTTGCAACGCTTTTACCAACTCTCATACATCACACAATCTATCATAGATAAATGCATTTAAATGCAATACTTCCTCGAAGGTGCCCACATCAATGCCCCGTGCCCGTACTTAGCTCGGGCAATTGGAACTATAAATCAACAATCCAAGTACGAAACAACATGCCAATATTTACCGTCAATACGTTTCCGGAAGCGGTCCGTCCGCAAAATTATCTGAACTCGACATTATGGTTCGGCACAGCGTCAACAAAAAAAAAACACACAATCAAACCAAAAAAGCCAAATTGGGTTCGAAAAGTATCTATAGTGGGTGAACTCGGCCTACACGAAAACAAACTCTGTATTGAATTACACAACTTTGGGTACATATCCGGCACATCGCCGTATACCACCACATCATCATCCTCTTTCCCATCCCCCACACCATCACCATCATCCGCCTCCGAGAAAAGGACATTACTATACAGTTTGTTAATGGAAGTTCTGGATAAACTTCCAAAAAGCCGAGAGTATCAACTCCTCCTGACAGCAGTAGTAATTTCGAACCCAACACATATACATCAACTCGGCCAATATCGGAAGAAGACTCAGCCAAGGAACAAAGAACTCTACGATCAACCAAAAAAATTTCCGACATAGCGTTCAATAAACTAGACTTTTCCAATATACACGACGAGTCTAAATAATAGCTTTATATTCATCCATTTCTTCACTTTTGGCTTATTTGTACAGAAAATACGAGAGAGAGCAATTCGAGAGAAAGATGGCTGGTAAGAAAGAATACTTGGATATGAAGCTTCAAGACAGACTATCATGTATACCAGCCAGACCACTCAGTATTGTATGCTATTCCCTAACCAATTGACTGCACTGCGCTGTCGAAGCATTTGGCAATTGTAAAAATAGGCCGCATGAACGAGATTATATTTATTGAAAGCTGAAAACTATTGGTAAGTATTTCTACTAGCAAAACCAATTCGCATTGTTCACTTGCATTAGACATAATTATAGGTCGATAAGGTTATGCGTCATGCCATATTTAAATAAAAATTGTCATATTATGCGAAGAGGATGAGTATGAGTGGCCACAACGGGCGGATGCACAAACCCCGATATGGAAATGAAAAAAGTAGGATAAAGTATAATGACGATGATACTGATGATTATGACAAGTAGGGTTACATTTTTTGTCAGCAATATGCTTCATATGGATATTGCAGGATGAACATGAAATGTGGTAAATCGCATGATCTTGACTTGATACTCGATTATGAGGCTGAACAGGAAGATAGACGGAAGCACCACAAATTTGACTCAACTTTAAAGATTTCGATCAAGGATGGTGATTCTTCAGCTGATGTATCCCCTCGTCATCATCGGCCACGCTGGAGACTGAACATTTGTCATTACGATTTTCTGTAGATAATGTAAAGATAAGCGCCGCAAATTTACCAATAGACCACGCAGGGGGCCCCAAAAAAACTATTTCTAGTTGAAGAAAGAAAATCAGCATTAGAGAATTTAGGCGATTGCTAGATTTAGCCGAAGATAGCTAGATTTTCACAAAACTCGTTAGGCCTATCGCAGAGGAGATAACTACCTCCTATGATGAAGCTCCTAATGTGCCACCAAGAAATAGGATATCGTAGATATAGTATATCATTATTATAGTTAACACATTATTATAGTCGACAGTCAACTTGTATAAATATATTACGTTTTAGTTCATCAACCCCTGCACAGGGGTATGCGTGAGAAAATTTTTTACTCGCTTAAGCTTGGGTATATATATTAATATTAATATAGGGACGGATTTGAAGTGGGCCAAATAAAGTGGAAAGAATTTTTTATTGTTTGACATTTTACAGGAATAAATGTCTGTTAATCACCAACATTACTGTTTATGGAAGTAAATTATCCCTCTACCTCTTACAGTGATTGCTAATTTGGCAACCTCGATTGTCTGATGGGGGAGGTAATTTATCGATAATAAGATGATTGATATCATAAGATTTGTTTAATTTAAAGGGGATGATTATTTTTGGCATAATAATCGGGATGTGTCGGATATTTTTGTACACCGATTGTATACTATGCAGAAATTATGTCATGCATAATATAGTTTCTTGTTCTCGTCCAGTAAATCAAAAAAATTTTTTTTTTCTTTTCGCTTTACCTTACAAGCCTCAAAGTTAAAATGTCCTTTACGCTCTGGGTTAGATATAGCAATAATCAGCCAGTTAGTCTCGAATTTGAGACAGGAATTGTAGATAAATTGAAGGATGTAATCAGGCATAAACTAACAAAGTTGAGGACATTGGATAATGATAATATCATTCTTCGAAAACATGAAAGTACTTTTGATTTAGAACCAGACGTGATTGTGGACGAAAGCTTTAGAAATACCACCAAGACACCCCTTCAAGGTAAGCCTTTGTGTTGGTCACCACGAACGTGGCGCGCGTAATCTTTTGTCACGTCGGCGCTGTATATTCCAAACTTACACTGCCGTCAATAGTTGTTATATTAGAAGATAAGCCGAAGACCTTCCTTGTTCAATCTTACAACAATGAGGGTGAACCATTGTTGGGAAAATTTGAAAAATATGCAATGCTTAACGACAACGAATATGATATTTTTTTGAAAAGAGTCGAAGCAAAAGGACTAATACTTATATCTGATGACAATGAGATACCAACGGTCGTTACCTCTTTAAAACATATAATATCAGGTGAAACTTATCAAATAAATGCTCCCTATCTAACAGCAATCAAAAAGGGAGTTACCTGGTCGAAAGTCGAAGATAAGGCAATAGAGGATGAAACGCTACTAGCAGTAAAGAACTTTGTCAACGAAATGTTTAAGTTACCTGTAGAAATATTTCCTAGCCGAACAATGTATAAGAACAAAAATCCGATAATGGAGTGGGACGGGATTATTGTTTGCGACAATAAGGTGTTCTTACTCGAGTCAAAACATAAAATGACGGAAGTATGTATAAAAGAATTATTATCTATTATAGATTTATTGATAACCTGGCTCATTTATAAATCTTGCATTCAGAAACACATGGAAAGCCTTGTCAATCGAGTAAATGAATTCCCAAACAAGCTCGAAGCCACTGATAGTGCGGAATTCAAGCAATTAGTTGGAAAAGAATATATCGGCGTCGCCTGTGGTTCGTTGTTTCCTTTGGAGTTGAGGAGAAAGTCAATGGAGGAAGGGCTAGTGGTTGTTTTTCCGAGCGGTAATCGTTACAAAGTAGAGGCGCCGCAAGAATTGAACCAATCAACGCAATTACGCTGTGGTGTTTGTTAATGTGTATAATATGGATGTGTTGGGAAAATAAAAAAAAAAAACAGTACATCGATCATTGTTTGATCACTGTCAATTTTTTTGTATGTTGGTTTCTACAAATTTGTGGTTCGTTATTTCCTTTGGAGTTGAGAAAAAAGTCAATGGAAGGGAGGGCTAACATTGGGATGTATACTTTAAACCCTTGTCTGAGTGCGCAAATCAATTCAGCGTTCCATTTCTCGGTATTTATATGTACGTACGTATAAGAGCTTTGTGCTTATCTCCAAAATAATATCATTAACGCAACGGCGTCTTGCTTGTAGCTTTCGAAGGTTTGCTTAGGAAGATATTCTTAACAATATTGTCAATCTTTACTTAGTTACGATCGCGAATGCCTTTGGGTTAGGGCTAGGTCGAATATGATTCGTAGATCGATGCAGCAACTAACTGAAGCAATTTTTCGATGCATTATACACAAGTAAACTAGATTTATGAGAAAAACAAAGGATATAACAATCATCATGTGATAAACACTATTACTATAGAGACTGTGAAACTTGGTGAAAGTTATTTGCCGGGGGGGGAAACTTAGTGAAAGTCATATACAGTAATGAGCACAACGGGCCTTGCCTAGTAATTCTCAAAAATGATAACAAAAAAAACCTAACACAACAATTGCAAAAATGATAGGGCTCGATGCCGTTGCACAACAGTTCAAGGGTTTTTTGTAGCCTACGAATCAGGAACCTCGCAAAAACGATCAGGTCGGCCACGATAGAAATCGAGCGCTGATATACGGTATGTTTCATTACAATTTTTATTGTTTTTCTTCTGTAAAGCAAGCCACTATTTCGTGAGAGATGAATCTTCCTGAGTAGAAGATAAACAAATTCTTCAGGGGGCAAAATTTTGCTTTGCAAAATAAAAAACTTGTTCGCGCCAAATCAGATGAATTATGTAGGGACAGAAAAATATTCAAAAGACGTAATAATCTATTTATACTATGATAGAAAAAGTGATAAAATCAACAATATTGTTACGGTCGGGAATTAAATGGGATTTGTGGGAAAGCAACCATTTAATTTACAATTAACACACAAAGAATCGGACGCTTTGAACGAACAAGCAAACTACTTAATCAACGATAGAACTACAGTTATCAGGATAGATCTTTGTCGAAAAAGAGAACTATGGGTGCTAAGGCAGTATACGAATAATAGTCATGAAAAACACATATGGGAGTAAATGTGCCAGTCTCATATAAAAAAGAATAATAAACTGCTTTGCCCTTTTTAACAAAGTAGACTGTGAATGTGAAATTTGTTATCATTGTGAGTAACTATGTGATGTAACACGTTAAAGTGTTTGTTGCTTGAAAAAAAAATTTTTTTATCCAAATCATGTCGTTAGTTCCAAGGGTCAAAGATATGCATAATCCAGCAATTGACAACTTGGTTCAATCCTCTTATGTAAATGAATATTATACACTTGAATGGATTCCTCACTCACAAATCACCGATACAAAGCCAACTCAAATTGACAACGCTTATTACGCTGTTCACAAGCAAACATATGATAGTGACGAGGCGACGATAACGTTGGTATTACTTGGAATTAACGAAGAATGTACACCAACACTTGTGAGTCAGTTTGCCAGAATATACTCACTTCCAACACACAAATACAATAATGACGGTAATCAGCTCAGAAGATACAAAATATGGGCTAGGAAGTGCAACAAACTCATAAAGGGATTTACCGAGTATGATGATAAATATTATATGGTTGCTGATGAATGCCTTTACCATTGTTATTATCAATATGGATTCTGCACTGCATGTGGAATACTCCGATGCAGTCCTGTGTTGTGCATCTGTGGACATAAACAATTGTCCGACTAGCAACAATAAGCAACTCATGAGTCTATTAAGAAATCTCAACTACAAACAAACTCAGCAAATCAACCCTATTTGGAATGGATTCCACTTGATTGTATTGGAGATAGGGGATATGGCTTATACTTTAACTTGTATGGTCTACCTACTTCTGAAAATATTAAATTGACTCCGCTTGAGATAACAGACGAGACACATGATTTATATTATGACAAGGTGATTATCAAATATTCGTGTGAATATATCACGGTTACCGATTGTTTAGATAAATATTGACTTTATGTATAATTCCCACCAGTTATGTGATGAGCATCCGGATATTTTTACCACAAATGTTTGGGTTACTATCGGATTCACATATGATATACATACACAAAAGTATTGTCTAATAAAGGAATATTATAACTATGGTTTATGTCTAGCATGTACAGAAAGATTAGAGCCCAAGATAAATGCATTCTGTTATAGATGTAAAGCACCAACACCTCTTGATTGGACTACAGGCAACAAGTCTTTGGATTCATTCATTATGGAGTCATGGTGTAATGTGAAGAGTGAATATGATGCATATATACAATGGATAGAGTATTCTCTATTGATGGATGTACAAGAAATGACCTCATTATGCCATGGATGCACACATATAGCAGATTGGTTGGATCCAATAATAAATAAACAGATAAAAGTGACACTCAAGCAGATCAGTGATACTCAGTCTCTTGATTTCCATCAGGTAAATTATTTCACATGTAAAAATAATGCAAATAGTTAAGTATGCACTGCATTGATTATTGTAATAATTGTATTGTTTACTCAAATAGCTAATTAAAGAATACCCAGCAATATTAACCCCTGATAATGTTTGGATAGTTGGAATCACTCAAGAGCCATCTACTGGGAAATAATATTTAGTTTTCTTAATGAAATACACACAATATTGGACAGATATATACAACTTTACAAAGATGTTCAGTATATGCAGTATGGTGACTTTGATGAACTCAAAGAGATTGGGTGTGGTGGTTATGGAACAGTCTATACTGCCAAATATAAAGGTGACTTGGGAGAAGATGATACAACAGAAACTGTTGTACTCAGTGGAAATAACATAATTATGTTATTTCCACTGAGTCTAGGTTATGTATGACGATGGGATCATATATGTGTCGTCATTCGAGTGACGATTGGTTCACGAGTTCATCGTCACACTTAGGTATCCGTGATCTATAAAAAAAAATATGACGATGAATTTATGTTCACGTCGTCACATTTGGATACCCACGACCTATAAAAAATATGACGACAATTTTATGTTCACGTCGTCACATTTCTAGTACTATCGAGTTCGTTATATACACACTATACTGTATATACGTTATCTGGACATGCTATATATACGCTATCTGGTTATGCTATAACACAATAGCTGGTTATGCTATCAATTAATGCTACCAAATATGTACACTTATATCACGTAAATGCTATCGAGTACGTTATATTAAAGTTGCTGTCAAAAAATGCTATGCCGATTTTGATTGCTGAATTGTTATCTATTATATTACCCGAGGATTGATGATATATAAAATGTTATCAAAATGTAATCGCTCATGTTCACTACCCCAGAATGCGTTTAAAATGGATCCGTCCTGGTCTCATCCTAGTAAAATAAATGTTAATTGGGACGGATTCAATATAGGAGAAAGATTTAAATTTTATTTTTATCTTGTTCTTTTTATATTTATTATATATTCGTCCTAGTTGTCCTTAGTAAAAAGTAATAATCTAGGAAAATAAAATTTATCTACTTATGATACATTTATACTATACATAATGATATATACATATAATATATACTATGTATACCTATAGATACAAAAAGAAAAAAAAGTAAGAAGATCGAAATTTTACTAGGACAACTAGGACAACTGGGACGGGTATTCTAAAACTCTTTCGTTCAGCTTGAAATTACCGACAGGTATATTTTTTTCCGTCCTACTTTACGTCCCAGAAAAAAATTCGTCCTAGTTGGAACTTCGAAAAATATAGGTATCCTGCATACCACACACATATATATTAATTTTCCTTTACCCCAGATGATGCAGAGTATCGAATCTCTGATTCCCCGCCTTGTGCCATCTTCTCCAGCTTTTTCTGCTGATACCGATCCCGTCTTCGATATTTATCTGCGTGAGTATCAAAATAGTCATAACCAGAATAGGTCAACTTACCACATTCTTTACAAGGTACGCGTGGTGGAGAATCCCAGTGAACTTTACACCCTTCAGGCCTATAGCAACCTCGATTGCAAACTTTTCCAGTCCTAAGAATATAGGAGCAATGATAAAATGCCATATTTATATGATTATGATATAATAATTATTATCTACTGATAACTATTCTTTAGAATTAATTTTCATTTTGAACTTTTTTTTCCGGAACAATATACTAGCAGTAAAATATACTTACTATGAGTACCCAAAGTGAACACAATACACCCACCCTACCATTGGCAGATGCAATCAACGTGCCTGCACTTCTTGTACCGATCCCTGAAAACTTGGAGCAATGTGGGGATACTTATGTGACAGGGAGCCGATAAACCTGAACATTCTTCTGAGATTATCGAATCAATGAGTGATGAAGCCAGACTATTGGTGAATGATGAGCCTGAGATATCTCCCGACTTACCTGCAAACGACGAACTAAAATCCAGCAATGAAGAATCCAACACCCAATTGAAAACATATCCATCTGGCTATTTAACCCGGGAGCAACGAGAGGCTCGTTTAAGAAAATGGGCAGTCGACCACAATGAAGATCCTGACAAATTCGTTACTGTAACTGAAAAAGATAAGCTCTATTCCATAGCATTCCGTGATAGAATGCAGACTGATGCGAGAATGTGTGGTTTTGCAAAGGAGGCTGAAGAAGACCCCAGTGAATATATGGACATGACAGTGCGAGAAAGATTAATAAGTGAAGAAATAATCCGCCGTTCTCTCGAGGAAGATGGAATCACCTCATCATGGCTGGATACTGACGAGGGATGGAAAAAAAACAGTGAGCATACTCCAGGCAAATGGTATGCTATGGTAAGTTATATGTATATAAAATAAGGAGCGAATAGGTGAATTTTGCAGGTAGGAGCTTCGATATAGGGGGGTTTTTTGCTCCTACAAACTAGCTAATATAAAATTTTCAGATAAAAATATTACACAAACTCTGTGTTATTTATATCCATATACTGGTTTTTGTGATGCCTAAAATGCTATTTGGTAAAATTTTAGTCAATACTTCATTCCTACTTTGATTTTAAATATGAAAGTAATAATAGAATAGTATAGCCACTTTGTGAATTGAAAATGCCTTGTAATTGGTTATTAGTCGGAGATATCCATTTATGTAAAACCCCAGCGAGAGGGGAATATTGCGCCCCCCATGCATTCAAAATTCGAAAGGGTATAATAATTCCCCAACCATGTAAAGGATGTGGGCGAGGGACTAAATCGAGTGTTCAGCTTTGTGTACCATGTGGACAAGGTAGGGAAAGAGCGTATAGATATTATAAACAGAAGAATGTAAAAGAAACTCTACGCACTTAATTTCTATACCTGCGAAGCAAATTACTAGATAAGTATTATCATTAATTTTTTCGTATATAATTCAGGTCTTTTAGAAATAACCAATTAAACTTATCATTTTCATAAGTAACAATTAACTATTATCATTTTCATAACTAGTAACACACCAATCATGTACACTGAAGAGCCGGAATATAATAAAGAGACGATTACCTCAGATAAGTTATTCAAATTAGCTAGGCGATCGAAAAAACCAAAAATCTATAACCCCAAAACTAATCGTATGATTGTAATCGATGGACCAGCATATAATATCTTGATACGCGATGGTTATATGCATTGGAAAGAGGAAAAAGTTTTAGTCCCTCCAATTCATGAAAAATTAGTATTGGGTAAATGGTTTATGTTCATATCTAATCGTATTTGGGATATTGCACACAATCCAGAAAAAAGTTTACTTTCATTAATTGATAGAAAAACAAGTTTATTACAAGTATTACTCGAAGTATATAATGATTATGCTATACGTAAGTTGTTAAAAATAGACTGGAATAGCAGAGAAACTCGGAAATGGAGAAATGATACACTTGCAAGATTCCTTCATCATCCAAATTTAACTCCATCAAAGCATAAACCGAATGCCTTATATGATGCACTCACCAAGGCAGACGTTCTAGAGCCAGAGCATATATTAATTCTAGCTCGAGCATTATACTAAAAAATAAAACACAATACCCAATTAATATAACCTGAGTCGCCACAACTCGAAGCTATAAATTTTTTCGTTATAATCTATGTAATAGTTAAATTCAAATCGATAGATCTGATCCGGCCAAATATCGGGTGGCGATATCCGGATTTAAATATCTTATTTTAATATATAATTCAATTTTATTGATGGTTGCACAGGTAATATTACAATTGGAAATATCGAGCTGTTGAATCCTTGGACAAGAATGAATAACATTCCAAATCGCTATTTCGGAAATTCCTTTACAGTTACCCATGCGTAGCCATATACTCTCTTTTTCTGAGCATGGGAGGAAAAAGCATAATTAATTTCGATTTGAAAAAATATTTTCTATAGTGTATATAACCTAAAGAATTACTCATAACCTACTCAACCTACTATAACATTCAAACATGTCAGCTATCGTAACTAAAATCGTTGAAAATACAATCTCAGCCCCAAGATGAGTGTGTCCGATCTCAGTAAATATACCTCAGAATTTCTTGAAAACCTTACCGATGATAGAAAGCGGAATCAAGCTCGACGACGTCTTCGGGATGGTTTTAAATTTAGCAATGAGCAGGTAAGTATATTGATACCTAATCAGAGAAGCGGGAAAAATAAAACTATAAATTTGGTTGAAGGTAATTGTAGAATAGCTATAACCAAGCCCCCAAAAAGTTTGGACGAAGAGATCGTCAGAGAGAAAGCAAAACGAACCTTGCAAAATAGATATGGGTTTAGTGAAGATCAAGTAAATGCCCTATTCACAACCCAGAAAAATGAACAATGTGAAAGCATTTCTGGCAAAACCTTAAATATTGTAATCGCCAATCAACTCTCTAAAGGAATGGGATTTTACGGGATAAACTTAGCATTAGAGATGTTAGAACTGAAGCTTATGCCTTAGCCCTATCAGCAAAAAACGCTAACACCAGTTCATCACGTCTTTCCCGTCTCAGAAGAGAATTAAAAAACCTTAGTGCGTCATCTGAGATAATTGATGCTACAAAGTTTCCTGAAATTACAGAAAAGCCAACGAAATCCAGCAGAATCGACGAAAATTCGCTGAGGCATTTGAGCGAATTGATTATCTGGATCATTTTACGTTAGAATCGGTCAAAGAGAGGTTGGATAGTTATAATATATCTAATCCGCCTGACTCGCAGATGTTATGATAATGCTTTGTATTCGCCCCGCTAAACTTATAACTTTACGTATTACAGATGCCGGAGTCACAGGTTATGCAAAGAACAGGGGTCAACCAGATATTCCTAGAAAATTTAGATCTATGGAAAAGGATCAAGAACGAGCCAAAGAATTACTAACCTGGATACAGAATTCTATATCTTCTGGTCGAATGGGTAATCCAGGTAAGCCAGGTTAAATGGTTCAATAGATTCTTAAAAGACTATGATTTAATTCCTAAATATTTACGTAAATTAGGAGCAGTATATGCTGTGGTGGTACATGGGGCAAAGAATTTAGCACATGCTATGACAATCGCTGGGGAAGCCTACGGCACAACCCCGACAATAACATCTCACCAGCGCAAAATTACGTTATTGTCAATTATCGGAAAAAAGGACAGACTCCAAAGCAAGCAAGACCATTCCGTCTTTATGATGATAACTAATTACGCTTCTTTGCTTCGAGAACTTGTGTACGTATTTCATTCTCATCGATGCTAGAATATTCAGAGCCTGATTCAGTTGAGGATGAAGACGAAGAATCACTAAGAATGATCTTTTTTCTAGCTATCTTGCAACATTGTTTAGTAATATTTGGATTTGCTATCGCGTTTATAATTTCTTGTTGAATCTCGGGTTTCACTATCTCCAGCAATCGGTGAAGAGAAATCCAGATTTTTTTATCCAATACTTGCCTACGAATACTGGATACCACCCTATAATTATTCTGAGATTCGTGGCTATTTCCAATAATTTCCACTCCCAATTTTTTAGCAAATTCTTCGGTTATAGTTAACCAGTTAGCGCTTGAATCGATAGTAGATTTAGTTGTTGTTGATGTCATAATATGTATCTTGATACTAGCTTTTCTATTATTTATTAATACATGATAAAATTCAGAATAAATGATAATTATTTTTTCGTAGTAATATACATCATTAAATAATATTTGATATGGTTTTCATAGAAACACTTGTCGAAGGAAAAATCCCTGTAAAAGCATTAATCGATACCCTTAACTGAGCTTCCGGCAAACTCTGTACAGCAATTATAATTTTCTTTTGATCAATACGAAAAGGGCAATTAAGAAAATAGTGATCATTTTTACCGAGACAGCCCCAATCGCCCCATGTGTATGTACCTCTTCACATATCGGACATTTAGCTTCCGAATCGGTGTATTTAAAAACATCTCGATACCATGCATTTGAATTGGTATACAGGTCAAACCTGTTTAAACCGGCGCTGATTAAACCGGTCTCGGGCTTAACCGGCCGCCTCAAGACTACACCAAACTTTCATTAACTAGAAACTTTCTCTAGTTGAACAATTTTTTGAACCGGTCCTTAGCTAAACCGGCCAAGAATCGACAAACCAGGTCCGCCGGTTTAAACAGGTTTGACCTGTATCTCAAGAAAGGGAAACGGTTATGTACTCCTTCACGGATTATACCTTTTTCTTCCGGAAACTTAGAAATTTTGATGATACAGTCTCGTGAAAGATGATTGCTGGCACCCTTTTCGATTTGTGGGAATTCAGAAGTTTCAGACTTTATCCAGGGATCTAGTCCTGTTTTTTTCTTATATATTTTATATAACTTGGAACGAAGTTTATCAGATATAGTGGTTGGCAAATCAGTTAATTCAGAATACCAATCCAAATATTCGGGGGATAATATTTTATCAGACTTGGTCTGTGTATCCGTATCCATGTTGCCGTTTTATATGAATACAAAGCAATTTAAATTCTCGCATCAGGTATTCCAAGTAAGATAACAATTACGTCTCATTCTTGGGTAATATTTGAATATATCAATTATGTATCGGTGAAGCAGGCACAGCCAAAAAAAAATATTAATTTCGTATTATTGTATACTGATATGTTATAAAATAAGGACAAATAAATTTTATTTATACAGTTATTTGAATTTCGCGCTGTTCACATTTAATAAAATAAGATCCAGCTTTATATTTACCTTCTATACTTTCCTCATCATCATGGCCTAACTTGCATAATGGGCATAATGTCTCGTCAGTAATTCCAAATTTTCACTACTAAATTCTCTAAATAAAGTAGGATATTGATTCAATGTTTTGTTACGAAAATATGATCGGTCATAAGTTGGCTTAGATTGGGCTCGTACATTAGTCTGGTTGGTTTTTGACGTAGGTGGAGTGCTTATCCCGACATCTGGTGATTTTTTCGATTCAGACTTATTTGATTCAGCCGGCAGATCACGTGCGCGTGAACAATTGTTCACGCCGATCAATTTTTGAGATTTGGTTAGTTCTTCAGTATAAAGATTTATTATATTCATCAGCGCTAGATGTAACTACTCCAATTTTATCTATTCCTATTCCCTTAAACAAGGTATAGATGCTTTTAGCCTTTTGTGTCATCTTACGCAAATACTCTCTCTTTTTACCGGGGAGATACAGCTCCATTTCATCATAAATCTGCGTTCTTGCCATTTGATCGCTAATATTATTTTCGGATCTAAGGGTTACAACCTTTTTTTCGTATTCCTCGCTATAGTAATACCATCGTAATTTTTCTTTCCGACCAGTTTTTTCAGCCTTGTCGAATAAATGAGCTAAATAAGGTACAGAACCTGGAGTTAGTTCGGCGTCGATTGGAACATCTAGAATATGTTTGCTAGATATAGAATTCGGCAAGGATGTAGAATCATGACATCTAATAAATTCAAGTAATTCACATATTAAATCTTGTTCTACTTTCTGATTATAGGGGATCTTTGCCTCCTTGATCTCTGATAAATTAACTTGTTTCTCTTCTATCTTCTGGGGTTCCATATGAACCAAGGAGGATTCCTTTGGGGCCGATTCTTTGACTACCTGTTCCGGGAGATCATGTTTAGTGTTAGTCATGGAGAGGTCTGCTTCATGGTGAAGCGATTCAGAAGTAGTTGAGGATGAGTCCTGGGAAAGTACATGCGATTGGCTAAGTTTCTTTTCCCGATTTCTCTGCCTAATCTCATTACTAACCTTTTTCTTATGCACCTCATCCAAGAAAGCGTTCGTTTCCTTGTCTTCAGGTAATAAAGTATCCACTAATGGTTTCTCGTGATGTGTTACCGTGGACACCTGATCTGCAACCGAATTGAAGTTAGATGAACTGATGTTAGAAGAATTATCATTTAGAGTCTGCTTCTGTTCCACTTTCGTGATTCTATCTCTAAACTCAAATTCCAACTCCTCGATTCTGACCTTGAGTTTAGCATTCTCAGCATCACGCCTCGTTCTCTCTTCCTCGTCATTCTTAAAGCCTTGGCAATCCTGCGCTTAAGTTCAGCTCTCTCAGCATCAAACTCTGAGATCTTTCTTCTAAGATCAGGTATTTCAGCATTTATGGCTTTGAGCTCACCATTCTCAGCCTCGAACTTTAGTAACTTCTCTCTAAGTTCGGGAATCTCAGCATTCTCCTTCCTAAGCTCTGTAATCTCGGCTAAGAGCTTGGCATTTAATTCTCTCAATGAATCAATGGATTGCATGTTTGATATAATTTTTTATGTAAGACGGAATAATTCAAAAGTTTGTTAGCATGGATAAAAAAGACCGTGGCAAAAATATCACGATTGGAATTACTGATTTATTGATGTAAAATGTACAGCCATGACTGAAAAAATATTCATACCTTATCGACTCGTCCGGAATTTTGTGCATTACAGTAGTGAAAGTTAGGGCTAAGAATATAACTATCAGTAATAGATATCTTGCTTTTTATGCAAGAATGATAAAGATTCGTGAGAATAAAGTTTAAAGATCTAGAACTATCACATAGAGATTATAATATAACTTAGCTATCTCTTTTTTTTGTGATCGGTTTATCACTGCATGATGATACACCTCCCGAGAGTGGAATCACGAGTCATAAGCTTTGGAGGTAGTTTCCTAGGTCCAAAGCGTAGGGATGGTGTAAGGGGTGAGCATTTCTGCGAGACCCTCATCTCTTTCTACGATACACCTCCCGAGAGTGGAATCACGAGTCATAAACTTTGGAGGTAGTTTCCTAGGTCCAAAGCGTAGGGATGGTGTAAGGGGTGAGCATTTCTGCGAGACCCTCATCTCTTTCTACGATACACCTCCCGAGAGTGGAATCACGAGTCATAAACTTTGGAGGTAGTTTCCTAGGTCCAAAGCGTAGGGATGGTGTAAAGGCAAGCAATTCTGCGAGGCCCTCGTAGATAAGAACAGTTTTAGAAACTGGAGTGGTGCTTATTTCCGCTACTACCTTTCTTCGTATGATCTGCACGTGATGAAACAGGGACGCGTAAGTTGTCCATTACATCTGTACAGTACTTTCTCTAGAAGTCGCTATATTACGACTAGCTAATCATGGATTATAAAGCCCCCACGCATGCAGAAATCGACGATTATTTCTCTACTAATCCAATGTCGGAATGGCACCTTCTTAATGTATATATGGATTCCAAATTAGAGTCCAACCCACTTTTGACGGCATCAGAATTATTTAGGTCCTTTTGTAGATCACCGAGAAAAATGAGAATGACAGTTACCCCAAATACGCTTCGGAATATGCGAAAAAGCTAAGGATGGCTATGAAGGTAACCTTTGCTAATAAATCTCACTTTCCATCTGATATAACTAATTAATAGTGTTATAGACGAAAAAAAATTTTTTTCATGAATCTTGCCGAGAAGATTGTTGATCGCGTTGAACGACGAGAACTAGTGGAGGAAAATGTGATTGATATTCGGCAAAAACAGGTCATCCTATTCTTTCTACAAATAATCAGTACCTTAGAATAATGTTAACATAATAACTAACCTTTAGACCATGCGAGATCAACTATCTGAGTCGAAAGCATTGGACGAAATAACCAATGCGATTGTTGGAAAACGTAAAAGAGACGATGATGACGATGATGAGATTGACAATAGTAAGATTTCTAAAAATGGCAACAATGAACCAATGGTGAGAACAAGTTTAGTTTCATCATCTTTAAATGATTTGTGCATACACTTATAGTATTCATTAGGTCCAAGAAAATTATGAAGAAATAACTACTTCTGAAAAAGGACATAGTAATGGTTTCGAAATATCTTCATTTGGTATTGAAGTGAAATCCAAACAAATATCTACGTGGGATTATGTAATACCAAAAATGGAAATAAGAGATGATTCTTCGAAAGACGTATGTTTATAAATATTGCTGAAATGATAACCTGTATATTATATCTTTGCTGAATCATCTTTCCGTATTTTGTATTTGAGTAGTGGATAAATGAAGGCCACAATTTTTCTGAAGATTTTCGGCAATTTCAGAAGTCAATTATCGAAAAACTAAAAACTGATCCAGTCTTAAATTATACGACCGATGTTGAATCCATAATGTAAGCCTTCCAGCAAAGTCATTGTATTTTTTAATAAAATGTTCACATATCATCTGTACTTATCATAGTGCCTTATTGAGCATTATGCTATTAAGAAAGAACAAAAAACCAGCCTATATTTCATGTACTGACAATGAGTGGCGGATGGCGTTTCCACAAATTACTTATAAATCAAGATGCCAGCCCTTGTCCAACTCACTTTATGTTCATATACACAGGTAAAATATATATATATATATATTAATTCTATGCTATATTAGTTTAATACACTTATACGTTGATTTGTATTTTATTGTAAGCCTTTAATGAGGAATGATTTGGCTGAATTTGAAGACTTGTGGAGGCTGAACTGGAGCAAAATATCCTCATTAGAAGATCAAGAAGATAAGAGAATATTCGACTCAATGCAGATCATAACGCGTAATTTGTAAGTAGATAAAAAATATTTTGGCATTAGATAATTAAATCTGTATATATTTATCGATATAATGTTATGTATAGTTTTTACAACTTGCCTTATGGTAAGAACAAGAACTTATCAAATGAAGACACATATGTACACAAAACTTGTCATGCAATCTTGGAGGAGATTTTCTGTGTTGAAACTCTCCAACTTGTATGGTATGTTCCATAATATTGTTTTACAATAAATATTTTTACAAAGACATTTGTGGAATTAACTTATAAATTTTTTTATATAGGGCAAATGGAGAGAGTAGCTCATCAAAAATCAACATTTAGGGGATAGCAATGCCCATGGGCTAAGGCCAGACTTTCACTTAATTTGCAAAGATACAGATGAATTCGAGATTTTGTTTGGTGAAATTGAGCCCCCCCTTTGCTCTTTTATTTCTTCTTATCATCCATCTCCCATTAATTTTATCTTCTCCTCTCAACCTCACTTTAAAAAACTTGGCTGACTTCTTCAATCAGCGGCTATATTCTCTATATGGAAGGACTATACATCATGCACTTTTGGTTCTTCCCCAATTCCCTCCTCATATGATTCACTCAAATCTCTTCTCCATCTTGTTCTTAGCTATAGACCTCTCCATCTATCCTCTTCTCCTAAAGCCCCTTGGCCTTCTATAGCTCGTATCTCTTCTCTCCTCTCTCCTCCTCCTCTTCCCACTCCTATAATACCTATACCTCCTCTTCCATTACATCTCCAAAA